CTGCAAAAGCGGCTATGGCATGTTAGCAACTAGATCTGGGAGCACATACCGTGTTTTCCACACCCAAAGAGAGTGAACATGCTGAGAACACTGGCATTTTCAACGACCACGTTGGTCGCCATAAAAGTGGCACATAAAACATTTTTCGTCTTGAAGTTGCATTAGTTGTGTTGTCCTGGCGATAGATATCCAGTGCTGTGGCCAGACCGATGAGCGTGAGCTGCTTTTACTTTATCTTGTAAAAGGCACGCGTGAGCCGAAATGTTGTGCTCTTAAACCTAACCCCCATCCTAAAAAGAAGGAGGGGCGGGGGCGTGTAACGGTGTTTGAAAATTCCTTGGCCTTGTTCTAGCCAGTGCAGAATGCTGCTTAAACCACCTTCACCGCAATACACTGGTGCCCGGTGGAAAAGCGTATTAGGATTTGGAAGGGGATATCAGCACGACTCACGGGACAGCTAATTTCATTCAATTAATCACGCGTGCATACTACTGCATAATTGTGAATACTAGTATGATCACTGACTTCTGAAAAAAGTTACTGGCAGCCATTTGGAGCTGTGGATGATGACACTTCTGCCGCCCTAATCTCGTGAACTTCGAGGTCACCACCTTGACAGATCTACATTTTAATTCACGATTTTTGTCAAAGATTTGACGAACGCTGCAAGTGCTAATGGGTACTTTATCATTGTTTGCATCTGTGGGGTAGATCAAAATACTAGTTTTATTGAAACAGCAGCGCTTCTGTTCACTCTGAATGATTTAGGTGATGTTGAATGGCCTGCACATACCTTTTTTTCCCCCTCAATTTCAGCCTTCTTTGCTCCAAATTTGCTCTTTCATGATAAAAAATAGGCATTTTATTTCCCGTAATCTGCTCGAAATTTTAATTTTATTGCTCCAAAAGTAAGATTCTGCTGCCACCCCTGTATTATCAATCAGGTGACAGAGAAATGTGCAGAATACAACCAACCTCTATATACAGCCTTTGTAGATTATGAAAGACATTTGATTCAGTAGAGATATCTGCAGTCGTACAGGCACTGCATTATCAGGGCATCGAAGAACCATGCATAAACATACCGAAGAAATTTACAGCGTATCCACAGCCACCGTAATTCTTCATAAATAAAGTGACGGAATACCAATCAAGAAAGGTGTGGTGGGGAAACACTATTTCTCCAATGCTCTTCACCGCACATTTATGGGGTGGTGTTCAAGGCCCTAGACTTGAAAGTTTTAAGTAGAAAAGTCAATGAATAGTATCTTAGTTACCTGCCATTTACTAATGACATTACATTGATGAGTAACTCAAGGGACAAATCACAGCCCATGATTACTAAACTGAACACGGAAAGAGAAGAGTAGGTTCGAAAATTAATATGCATAAAACTAAAGTAATGTGCTTCAGACTCGGCAGAGAACAGCGCTTTGTGATAGGTGGTGAGGCACTGGAAGTTGTATAGGAATATGTCTACTTAGAACAGCTAGTAATCGTGGAGCCGAACCCTGAGAGTGGAATAACTAGAAGAGTAAGGATGGGGTGGGGCACATTCAGCAAACATTCTCGAATCATGCATGGTAATCTACCACTAGCCCTCAAGAGAAGGTACATAACAGCTGCATCTTGCCAGTGCTTACCTACGAAGCAGAAAACTGGAGGCTTACAAAGAGGTTTCAGCTTAAATTGAGGACGACGCAGTGAGCGATGGAAAGGAAAATGATAGGTGTAACCTGAAAGGGCTTGGAAACAGGCTTCGACTTGTTTTTCTACACCCTGCAAACAAGCTTGCTAACTCGTACAGTAGACTGCGAGGATCACATTTTCCGAATATTAGAGTACTGTGCGGACTCTTCGTTTCTAAAAACAATCCCGCACCTGTTTTCTGTGCCTGACCAATTCTTGTCGTACGCGCATAGTGACTAAAGCTTGCCGATTAACAAGTTTACGTCCCACTGCGCTTGTTGATTGGTCCTTTGCTCTATGAAACTGCGCCTTGGCCTTGCAGTTGTGGCCGCGGAGTGTGCATATGTCTGTGCCGCCCTCCGTCGTTTTGTAGAGCCCTAGAATTTTAGGAGAAGCGGTATTGCCAAAACGAAATCTTCCGTCAGAAGGAGGCGTCTTACTTCTTTACCGCTAGGGGAGGGGTGCTCTTCGAGCTGCATTTTTGTCTCCCTGCACCGCTATGACACTTGTTCATGTCGGCGTTGCTGTGCTTGGTCGTTGGCTGCATGCTGATGACATATTGCTGACATCCTATGACATTGTCATAGTGGGCAAAGTCACCATAACGAGCTACGCCTTCGCTTCCCTATGGCAAAGAAGGGTGGCGAAGCTGTGTGAATATTCGAAACTCGCTGAAACGAATATTATAACTTCTGCAACTTTCTTATTACGTCATGCACTCTAAAAATTTTTGTGACAGCATGTTCACATAGCAAAACAGTGCATATTTCTCTTCAAAGGATTTTTGGACCTCAGGGTTGTTTGCTGGCCTTTAAGAGGCGGGAAAGAGCAGAGTTGGTCAAGGAACAAATATAATATAGTTGAAATCGCGTAGCGCGTCGGCGCGATAACCACTGGCTAGATTCTTAGAGAAGGCGAATGCGGGAGACAGAAAATTAGGTGGGCAGACGAGGTTAAGAAGTTTGCAAGTACAGCAGAAAGCACAGGAACGAGTGGCAGAACATGGGAGAGGCCCATGTCCTCAGTGGGCGTAGCCAGGCTGCTGATGCTAATGACTATCATTCGTTTGAAATGGGAATATGTGGCGATTGTCTGGGAACACCGCAATAAGAAGGACATTGTGAATTTAAGAAGTGTGCAATAAAGGTCGTGAGATTTATCTTTTTGAAATATAAGCGAGAATCGCCCTGTATTGACTAATGCTTGCTTGAACGTAGACGTGCAAATTATTCGACTTAAGTTTCTACATAGCATCATATAACAGAGTTCATGCAGGTCTTGAAATCCTTGAAAACCCTTGAATTTGAAAAATGCGTTTTCAAGGCCCTTGAAAGTCCTGGAATTTTTTGCCATCCTTGAAAATCCTTGAATTTCCTGAGCAGTGCACTCTTGTATTGACATTGCGGCCTCCTAAGTGTGATACGTCGGTGAAAAAAAATAGTTTGTGGCGAGGGTGGAGCAGTGAATGTGATAGCAAAAAATTAGAAGTCTCACACGAAGAAGGGCAAGGAACCCCATACATGCAGCACGTCGCTCAAGCAAAAAGGATGCACGTAAAGAAAGCGCACAGGACAAGTGCTGATGAACGACTGTCATAGCTTGACACTGGAAGCGTGCTGCTTAAACAAACCAAAAACTGGTGCTAGAAAAAAAACACATATGTATCCACAGGATGAGTGTAAATTAATCACTGTCACAATTGTTACTTCTTGGTTGTTGAGCAATGAGCTGCAAGTGTAAGCTTTGCACAAGACGGCACACTTGATGAAGTGGTGCCACCAAATTTCAAAGGCTATAGCCAACACCTTGTGGGTTTAAAAATATATTTTAAGTCACTTCCCAGGTGTACCTAAATGCCCATTCTCCTAATCGAGGCCCATCGCGAGCGCGTCCAACGCTGACGTAGCTCTACAGGAAGGGCAACAAGAGTTCTTGTGACGTCACTCCAGATTTGTATTCAGCTGAGTGACCTTGAATATCCCTTACATATCGGCAAAGCATCGCGGCTGCTGCAGGTAGTGGCGAGATTGTTTTGCAGGATGCTTGTGTGGCACATGTGTGCGAGAACTGACAATACTCAGCATGACGCGTGCAAAGCTTTGTGATCTCGTGACTAAGTCAGATACACTGCTATGTACCTGCACAACTCGGTCCCTATAAACAGGATCTGAAAATTGTCCATACCAAAAAGGCAACAAATTATATAGCGAGAATAAATGAATCTTGATGCGTGTATCGTGCTTATTAGAGCTATAATTAAAGCTTGCAGCAAGAGCACACAAGCCACGAATATTGTGGCACGACCGCTTTAAGGCCTGACTGCACATGCGCAGTTGCAGCCCATCAGCGCATAACTTTCCGACATGACATCGTGCCCTCTCTCTATGGAGAGGGTGCGAGAAGTTATTAATACTATGCTTTTTATTATTATTGTGATATCCATATATTGTAAGTGTAATGAAATTGGTCATTTTTGAAAATTTTTCGGGTGAAGGAATTCCAATTTAGCATGCCGCTCTGAGTCCTTGAAAAACTTGCAACAGGTCCTGAAAAGTCCTTGATTATCCTTGAATTTTCGCTTTGGAAACCTGTATGAACCCTGTATAAGCTTTAATTACTGCATTATGTAACTCCTCTGAAAGCACGAACAATTAGACACTGACAGCTTTTCGCTTGCATCAACTTTTGCTAATCTCACATGAACAGTATCTATCCGCGCACCATGATTGAATGGAAGTCCCTGCCTCATTCCTGTCAATAATTCTAAAAACTTTAAGAACAAGTTGGAAAACCATTTTCCAACTCCTTTGCAAAACTTAGAATAAATCTTGGGGAGTGCATTTTAATGGGAATGTTTGTTACACTTAGTGCCCTATTATTGATTGAAGAGCAGTTTCTTCTTATCAAATCGTTACTTAATGTGTGATTTGTGTTTTTCATTGTGTTTATTGTGCCACTTTTAAGTTCCTTAAGTTTTCTCAACATTTTTACACAAATTCTTTTCACAGAAATGTAATTTATTTTATTGTGCCAAGCAAGTGTTTTGTTTTGTGAAATATGGTTATTGCTTGCATCAATTTCATGTAGTGTGTACATTTATTTATTTTTTCTTGCATTGGCTCTAGTCCTTCATTACTTCGTCACTGTATCACCTCTCTGGCATCGGCGAACTTATTGGCCTGCAGTATGAAGAAGTAAATAAAAGAATAAAATGTGATGGCAGGGTTCAGAGCAAACAGTTGCTGCCTTCAAAAGTTCTGCAGTCGTTTTAAAAAGAAATGGAGACTGACACAGTTTATCATTTTGTGCAGATTGTTACCCACATGCCATCGTTGAAAGTTATGAAAAATGTTGTGGACAAAATGAAGAACCTAAGTTCATATGCGGTAAGAACACTGACAGTTTCTAATAACTTTCTTTTTATGTCTACAGTATAAAAGATGTGTGTCCACTTTATGGTACACATTACGCATGTTTAAATTTGGTAGCCTGTATGCAGCTTTGGTAAATGACAAGCATTATGTCAGGACAATGTCAATTATGATTACGCTATTGGCTAACCACTTTGATAACAATGAAATATGTACATCCTTGCATTTTTTTTTTTTGACAATATCACGCAAGCACAAGATATGGTAGCTCTCATAGAGTAAAGAGATCTGCTGACGATGTGCAGGCGCACAAAACACCCAGAGTCTGATACGCTGTTTCTTTGAACAGATGTTGATCTAACAGCACTGTACGATGGTGCACATTGCAGAAATGCGTGCGCTCATTGTGTACTGCCAAGTGCAAGTGTCCTCTACTGTGCTGTTCTGCTAGGCCCATTTATTTCCTGTGCTTCCTTTTCATTTTTAACACGAAAGTGGTTCATACCAGATTCCACCATGAGTATTTCAGTCACCGATATGACATTGTAAAATATAATCAACATTCTTGTAAAGAAAAAAAATAAGAGAAAAGTTGGGCATCAAGCTTACCGCTTCTCACTAGTTAACCACGGAGCGTACGTTCTCCACCTTCCTAATGGTGAAAATCATAGAGTTTCCTATTTATACTTTGTAACTTATATCATAGAGTTTCCTAAATATACACTAGAGGAAACTCCTGGTGCTAGTATCTATGAGAGCTGCAACGCATGGTGCTTTAGCGAACATGTGAATTATGGGTAGTACATGAATTTGCCTAATCTTCTTACTATAAGTCCCGTTTGGTTCCGCATGGCTTGAAGCTGTTTTGTCACGAAACAGCTATCAGCAATAGCTTATCAGTTACATTTCACCACCTTAATCTTTTAAGCTCACCAATTCTTATCTGGTCATGAAGTTCAAAATGGCTTGTTTTTTTTATTCGAAACAAAAATGAAACACTGCAATAAACAAAGCCACAAGTGCGATTTGAGGCCCACATGTACGAAGACTAGGCAAATACATATACTACCCATGATTGCCATGGTCGCTGAACAATCGCAGTGCCAGAGTCCCCTCTAGTTAATTTTAGAAAACTCTATGATTTATATACCCCATGTTCCACTGGTAGTCTTCAGAGCTAAGTGATTTTATTGCGTTTTTGCATCACTAGCGAGATGGCACGAGAGCGAGCTCTGAAGGTCATTTCCCTGCGTGTTGTAAACCGTGCGCACCTTCATAGAGCATGGTCGTTTATGCACGTTGTGGGAATTGAGGCTAGCCCGCTGCCTTTGCGCAGGGCTTTGCCGCCTTTTCTGCCGTTCTCATGTCCCGACATGACTCCCTCCTCCTCCGCTGTCTGCCGCTCTAGGAGAGCAAGGAATGACGTTTAACCTCTGTCACCAGGTAGCGGATGTTGGCTGTGGCAGCCGCCCGCAAAGTCTCCCGGGAGGTCTCGCGCGTGCGTCGGGGAGTGAGAGAGACCTCTCGGAGGACGACATGGGGGTAAGCACGCTTTTCTTTTCCGTTCGTTGGCTCCCTTTGGGGCTCGTTCGGACTTCGCCAACGGTGCCTTGCTCCCGCGGTGAATGCTTACCTTATGTTGCCCCCCCCTCCCCTTCCGAATTCTGGGCCTAGGAACGAAGCGCTGTCCTAGTGCGTGGCAAGGCTGCGCCGACCCGTATCTCTCTGAAGCCAACGCGAGCGCCTTTGCCCTCGCTCGAGCAACCGGGCATTAGTCCCGGTGTCTCCGTGAATCACTTTTGTCATAGAGACGTGCTCGCGGCATCCCTATGTAGTAAGTTTTGCCCGTGGGGGGATAAGCCCATTTGCCTTCCCGCAGCACTTATGCAACAGGCTGTACTGCGTTTTTGGTGTTGCCGCAGGCAATAAAGTGTTGTGACTTTGAGCAGTATTGTGTTCTCGCCACGGCGATGGTTAACGCGTGCCTTGCGACTTGCTGAGGCCGGCCCCACGTTGGGCGCCACACTGCGCTTGCAAAGGGGCCATGACCTTTCCCCAACGGCAACAGACTCTTGGCGCCGCCTTTGCGGCTGCAACTGGCTGTGAGTGGGAGTTGAGCGATCGCGCTCTTGATCCCTTTACTACAGAACTTTTCTGCAGTAAAGCGTCCCTCCACACAGGGACGCTTTCCGACCCAACGTAATGTGGGAGGTGATGCTCGCAGAAACGTATGCTGCGATGACGTAGCGAGCCGATCACGAACAACTAGAGGCTACTCCGTCTGGGAAAATAGACCGTGATGGAGTGCGCTGTTACCGCTGCCATGAACCAAGGCACATAGCAAGGGAGTGCACTGGATCCAGGCCTCCTGTAAGGCAGGGGAACGGGTTTGCGGGTCGTTGAATGCACGAAGCGACCGAACCTTTGCTTCTTCTCTCTGCATGCAGGGCAAACACTTTTCTTGCTGATACACATGCGTTGTTAATTCCAGGTCACTATTGAAGGCCGTGAATTTTCGGCGTTGCTGGACATGGGCGCTAGCGCTTCTTTGTTTGGGAAACTAGTGTTGTTCCTACTTGCAGCAGCACTCGGTGCACTTGCAGGACAGCCGAACGACATTCACCCTTGCGAAAGGGGTGGCCCATTCGGCAGGCGCTGCAAGGTTGACTGTCAGATGGGGAGGGCGAATGAGACGCTGCTGTCTTGTTCATCTTCCAGGGCTCAATGTTCCGAGTGATTCTCGGTCGCGGCTTTGTCCTTAAAACAGGTATCGTTGTGGACATTGCGAATGGCGGCTATCGTGATGGCCCATTTTGCTAACTCAAGCCGTTCGCCCGCCGGCGCTTACCGTTGCCTTTGCCGCAGATGTGTCGGAAACGTGCCCTGTGCAGAGTTCGGGGCCAAGCCCCTGCTCAACGCATTTGCCCTCTCACAGTTCCCTTCGGGAACGAGAGGCGTGTCACGAACCAGTGTCGCGCGCCAACATCGGGGTCGTACCCTGGCTGTTTCGGGCTCGTCGGCACGAAACCCCTATGTGGATTGACCGACACGACACGAAGAAGCACTGCAATCTTTGGTCGCTTGCACGACTCAGTTGGATGATGCACAGAAGGCTCGTCTGTCTCGAATTTGTGTGTATGTGACACGTTAGTACGACAAGCTCTTCACCGATCACCCGGGCTGCACTGAATTTAGTGAGCCATGTGATCGAAACTGGTACGGGCTTTCTTTAAAGTGTAACCCCAAGCCCGTCAGTCTCGCCAAAAGGCAGATCATTGATGGGTTGCTAGACGACATGCTTGCTGTTGCAGATGATCGCGGTCGCGCGACAACAAGCAGGAGAACCGAGGAGAAAGACGAATGGTGAGGCGCGAGCTGTTGGAATAAAAGGGCGTTCTTGGTGTAAGGCTCAGGTCTTTAATACACGACCATTGCGGCTTGCAAAACCACATGGCGCGTTTTTGCCAACGTGCACGCAGCATCACTTGTAGTAAGTGCAACCGACGACACCTCACTATCCTCTGTGAATTGTTCACACTGGCAGCCCCAACCCGTACAAACGCGACGACAGTGCACCAGGACGACCCGCGCATCGCCGGGCGAGGCACTAACACGCCTTCAGTAACATCAGCCCCAAGCGTTCTTAGCGGAATCAACACCGTTCTTCTTCAAACAGGGCGAGTCTGAGTCGAGTGCGGGTCCCGAAAGCGTCTCTTGCGCATTCTTCTTGACAGCGGCAGCCAGCGCACATTCATAGGAGTGGATGTCTCAAAAGATTTCAGATGCCCGGTTATTAGAACAGAAGAACTTTTTTCGGTTACATTCGGCCGCCCTGAAGCCTCGCGAAGTAACAACCCCCTGCAGGGGCGCCTGTGTAAGCAGGCATTTGGTGTGTAGCGACACCACGGACCCGAACTAACGGGGGAGTTTCGACTCCCTTTCACGCTTAGCCGCGCGTGGCTTTGCCGTGTCCGGGGAAAAGGGGATCCTGGGGGTTGAGCCAATGCTGGGTGACTGGACCTTTAAGGCCCCCTAGCGGCCGCAACACACCCCTTTGGCCCCGGCTTCACATAGACGGCACCCCTGGGCTGACCCAACCAGGGGAAACCGACAGTCGCCTTTTCCTGTCTCTCCCTCTCTTCATCTTTGTCTTTCCCTCTCACTTTCAATTTTTCCGGTTCTCTCCTCTCTTCAATTTACTTCTGTTTTTCCTGGCGGCAAGGGTTAACCTTGTGTGGCTATCCAAACTAGGGTAAACCATATTGGGTTATAGTAACTGCGTACTGCTGGCGTTGCGCAGACATGTCTGTAGCACTACATGTCCATATTATCTGCCATGTCTCCTTGTTGGACTCCGTGGTGGGTGGTAGGCGCCGTTACCGAAAAATCCAAAATTTTCCATGGGATCCTCGACCCCCTCTCTAACTGATCGTGCCTCGAAAAGGGTACGCATCGATGCAACTTCACTACTTTGGCCCAAAAACAGAGAAACTTTCCCAAAATACCATGTCTTCCACTGCGAACAATCATCGACAAAAGCTAGAGCAATCTCACCCTTCCTTGTGGCCAAGTGCTTGAGAGAGACCATTGGAACCGGTTATAAGGCCACGAAGATGGCAAGTGAAGATTTGCTTCATAAATTAAAAGACAAGGAACAGTACAATAAACTCTCGCATCTTGTAGCCTTTGGTAACATCCCCGTCTCTGTGAGCGCACACCGTACCATGAATACAGTGAAGGGCGTGGTATCGGATGAAGATTTGATGACACTGAGTGAAGAAGAGCTTCTTGATGGATGGAAGGACCAAGGTGTAATACTTGTCCAGCGCATCAAAATCAGACGTAACAACAACGAAATAGCAACAAAGCACTTGATACTCACCTTCAGCTCAACCACTTTACCTGATACTCTCGAAACTGGCTATATAAAACTCCATGTCCGACCCTTCATTCCAAACCCGAGGCGTTGTTTCAAATGCCAGCGATTTGGTCATGCATCCCAGAGCTGCCGAGGG